ATGTATTAATACACCATTTATTATGGTCAAAGGGTTAAGCCAAGCAGTTATACTTGGAGTTCCATTCCTTACCCTTTTATATCCATTGTCAATAGATCAAACAGGAATATCTTCAAAATATCAAAATGTACCAATACATTTTGATTTTATTCATAAACCAAAATTAAAGGAAATTAATCATGTTAAAGATCAATTACAGAATAAAGAAAAATTTCTCTGTACGTTAAAACAAGAGCTTAAATATAAGCATATAGAAGAACAAATACAAAATCCTTTGATCCAACAAAAGATCCAATCAATACAACAACAAATAGAAACTTCGATATGCAGTGAGCATCCCAATGCTTTTTGGGAAAGAAAAAAGCATAGTATTTCTTTACCATATGAACAAGGATTTGATGAAAAACAAATACCTACAAAAGCTAGACCAATACAAATAAATACTACCTTACTAGAAATGTGTCGTAAAGAAATCAGTGATCTCCAATCAAAGAAATTAATACGACCAAGCTCCTCACCTTGAAGCTGTGCAGCTTTTTATGTAAATAAAAATGCTGAGAAAGAAAGAAGAGTTCCCAGATTAGTTATAAATTATAAACCTCTTAATAAAGTCTTAAGATGGATTCGCTATCCTATCCCAAAAAAAAAAGATTTATTAGATAGAGTAGCCAATGCTTGTATCTTTTCTAAATTCGATATGAAGTCTGGATATTGGCAAATACAAATCCAAGAACAAGATAAATATAAAACAACATTTAATGTACCATTTGGCCAGTATGAATGGAATGTAATGCCTTTCGGTTTAAAAAATGCTCCATCAGAATTTCAAAAAATAATGAATGATGTTTTTAATGCTTATTACCAATTCATGATTGTATATATTGATGATGTCTTGATTTTCTCTGAATCTATAGATCACCATATCAAACATATTAATATTTTTATTCATGCAGTCCAGAATGCTGGGTTAGTAATGTCTGCTAAAAAGATCACCTTATTTAAAACGAATATTAGGTTTTTAGGACACATGATAAACCACGGCACTATTATTCCAATAGACAGATCTATACAATTTACTGATAAATTCCCTGATCAAATACTTGATAAAAAAGAACTCCAAAGATTATTAGGATGTTTAAATTATGTTAGTGATTTTTATCCTAATTTGGCTATCGATGCTAAACCTTTACATGATAGACTCAAAAAGAATCATCCACCATGGACAAATATCCATACCCATGCAGTTCAAGTAATCAAACAAAAGGTAAAAACCCTTGTTTGCCTTTCCCTTCCTCATCCCACTGCTTTCAAAATTATAGAGTGTGATGCTTCAGATATAGGCTTGGGTGGTATTCTCAAGCAGCGTATTGATACCCAAGAACAACTACTCAGGTATACTTCTAAGGCCTGGAATCCAACTCAGAAAAACTATTCCATGGTTAAAAAAGAATTATTAGCCATTGTTCATTGTGTTACCAAATTCCAAAGTGATATTCTCAATCAACAATTTCTTATACGAACTGACTGCAAAGCAGCCAAGGACATTCTGCAAAAAGATGTTCAAAATTTAGTTTCCAAGCAAATTTTTGCTCGCTGGCAGGCTATCCTGTCCGCTTTCGATTTTTAAATAGAACACCTTCCCGGGACTTCCAATGCACTTCCTGATTTTCTCACCCGTGAATTTTTGCAAGGGGGCAACACTGACGCCAACGACGAAGAATCACCACTGTCCTTGGCACTACAGCTTTTCAAAGCTAATAGAAATAATAATATTACACTTTCACCTTCACCTCATTCCATGGGTTCTCGTGGCATTTCTCGCAACGATAAACGCCCAATGAATATAATACCATTCGAAGGTGACTTTCCGCCTTTGGCAACCCTTTCACCTTCAAATTCTCCTATACATCAGATCACTTACCCTGAGGCTCATACTTCAAATCCTATATATACTCCAGCCCAATCAAAATCCACTTCAAGACCTACTATGCCTAAGTCCTCATATATTGAACGAGCCTATTTGATGGACATCACTATTGATGAACATCATATCAATACAGAACCTATTAAACTTGCTCCTTTATATTTGATCAACCATCTAAACCCAACCAATGGGGTTAAAACCCGAGAATATTATGAGGTTATTCTTATGGAAACAGGGTCCATCTCTGTTGTCCATTATTACCAGCAGAACACTCGAGTAATTGCTTACTCAAAAATCCAAATAAAGAAACTGCTTTCTTATGATGAGTGGGGTAACAATCCCGCTCAAGGCAAGAAATTACACAACCCAGATTTCTCATACAAATATTACAAATATGCCGAATATATTGAAGCCTGGCATAAATTCTTTTACTACCAAAATCCAAACAATACTCACAGCTGGTACATCCAGTTCCGGTTACCTGTTTTTGAAAGATTCCCCACATGGTTTAAAAACTGGTTTTTAGTATGGGGATCAACAACTTCAATTTTACCTCCTGCTTACAAAACAGTGCAGAAACAATTTGTGCAATACAACAATATTGATAATACTATTGACACTCACCTTTACTTTATGGCATTATACCAAATCTCATGGATCATGAAATGGGAATATACAATCTCTGTTAATAATACGGCTGACCATACTTATATTCCTAGACTGCGCAAAACTATCTCAGTCAAATGGTGGGACATATTTAACATGGATCCCACAACCATCACTCCTAAAAGAATACCCCAGAAAACACCTATATATCAACCAAGCCCAAATACAGCCAATACCTCTTTTGATTTCCCTACATATTTGAGAAACATGCTCCAATCCAATCCCAATGCCTCAAAAGAAATGTTAGAGCAACAAATGAAAGAAATATTTGCTGAGGCAGGACGAAAACCAGTGTCCTCAAAAGAAACTGTCCAGTCCTCTCCACTACACACCAATAGATACTTACAACTCAGTGAAGCAGATCCAAAAGAAGAAACAGATCCGGAAGAAGAAGATCTAGATGAATGCAGTCAAAGACCATAAGCTTCACGACAAAGCTCCACCGACAAAGCTCCATAAAAGACAAAGCTCCACCGACAGAAAAGACAAAAAAGACTATTCAAAGATACCAATCACTGTGCCCACTTTTATAAACGACAACAAGGCACTGTACATAAAGTAGTTTACTGTGGCCACTTCCCCGACAAATCTCCCTGTGCAAGATGCTGCTACTGTAGCCACGTCATAAGAAACAAAAAGAAATACTGTACAAAGATGCTTTTCAAAGCATCCTTTTCTTTTATTTTTTGTCTTCTTCTTTTTTGTTTGATTCCTCCGCTGTCTTTTCTCCCTTTTGGTCTTATCTCCTTTGCTTCGCCTCGAAGGAACCTCGCCTATATAAGGAGGTTCTCTCTTCCTTAATCCTCAGGTCGCTCACTCCTCGGCAGGTCGCTCACTCCTCGGCAGGTCGCTCACTCCTCAGTCCAAAGCCTTCAGGACTCCCTTGCTTAATCCCCATCAGAGATCTCAAACCTCTCTGAGTTCTGAGCCTCTCTTCTAAACACCACTTCCTCTGCTCCGCTTCTACTCATCATCTTTTCTCTTCCTCTTTTCTCTTCTACCTTTCTCTCTGGAGATACTGCATCATCCTCAAGCTATCTTGACCTCATAGCTTCATATCTATTCACCTACCAGGTTCTATCTCTCCTCTTTTCTTTTATATCAGCATGTGTGATTGCAATATAAATTCTCTGCCTTCCTCTTGCCTGCGACACTGGAAACTTTTTTCCAGTTATTGCATATGTACACAGTAAGTGTGTTGTTTTCATATTTTCAAGTTGAATTTCTCCTGTAATCTTTTCAGATATAGTCTGTAATCCTTTAACTTGTTTGTAATAGTATGGTTTGTCTGTCTGTAAGATTATACTTTGGTTAATACAATTTGTCTCAGTTTGCATGAATGATTGTTAACCAATATTATGCAATTTAAAATATTATTTAGTGTAAAAATAGGAGATTTCAACCACACACAGTGGTTAGTCATTGATATATCGGTAATACCTTTTATTTGCATAATTTTATTCTGTCTCAATTTTTACAGAATTTTACAAGAAATAGTCAAATATAATAGCATGATATTCACATATTTACTCTAAACAATACCATAAGATTTTACTGTAGATCTTGGCGCGTTGTGGTATCAGAGCCAAACAGTAAAACTGTTAGAGTTAAACGTTACAAGATTACTGTAGAAACCTACTTAAATTTACATCTAAGAAAATTGGTCCGAGAGACCCTACAATAAACACAAAGTTCTTAGTACTGTAATACTTATAAAGATATGGATACAATAACCAATCACTCAAAAGAATAAATGTAAATGAATGGCAATTTTTATATGGTGGAGCATGAAATTGTGGCAGTTACACAAGACACTAACAATCATGGAAGGCATCAAAACTGCATAAGAATATAAATGGGCGATCCCGGTTGCTGGATATTATTACCCTAAGGTAAAGTACCCCAAACCTAAACTTTGACATAGCTCCAAAGGAAACCGATGCATGGAGTAAGCTAAAGATGAACAAGGCTGCATCAGCATTTAGGTTAGGGATTTTTTCAAACCTATTGAATGCACACATCAGCTGGTTTACATGAGGCAGCTAGTTACCTTATTGGCAATGCTAACTCATATTGCATGACAAACAAAAATAAAGCGATGCAATAATGATCTAAACGTTGTGCTAATGCATCGTTTAAAAATCAAGTACATTGATGGTGTTGCAATTTCTAACATTTGAATGCACACATCACCTAAAATTAAAAGTATGTTGCGCACTGCATATGCACAAAATTAAGTGTCAACTTGATGCCAATAAAATAAGGGAAATTCAACTAATACCCACACAAATCAAATAGACATTAACATATGAATACTGCATAATCAGCAATATTAGTACGTTTCTTTTTAAATGATAGTTAATAGGCATGAATGCTTACAAACTCCTCAAGCTCAAGGGTTTTCCCATACCTTCAGGAAAAAGATAGCTCTTGCTAAGTGTTGGACGTTCATAAGGAGCCACTTGTAAAGTTTGTCAAGTGCATATTAGATCTAGATGAAGTTCACAACAGGAAGAAGCATGTATAATGGAACAACAGCAGCACCACCACAAGACCATGTGGAAAACATCAGCAGGTGCACATTAATATAAATCAGATATATTTTAATAAAAGGGACTTCATGTGGAGTAAGTGTTTCTTTGAAGTTGAACAGAATAACAATCTACTCAAACTTTTCATAAGACTAGCCCTTGAAACATGCTGTGAATTAGAGCATTTACCCATGCTGAAATGGTTGGTCTATAAGATTAATTGAGCATATCTATGTCATTCAAATATTATTAGTTCTCTGTGCATAAAGTGCACAAACTCAGCAATGTTCAATTGTTCCCTTAAAAAAGATTTCACGGGTTTGTTACAGGAAGAGAACTCTTCGAAGCTTAAAAGAAATCCACAATGGCAAAACTGGAAATCACAGTTCCATGAAAAAGGCAAAGAAAGGCCACAAAGATCCTGGTGCCTGCACTCTTTGCAGTGAAAACAATAGCAGCCATTGCTGTTTGAACATTAACCCATCTCTCCTAGATTTACCTCTGGTTCCTGTGGCCACAAAGGGTTTCCATTGCGTGAACTAAAATTTACTTATGGTTTCTGTGATCAGAGAGAAGCTTTTCCTAGAGAGAGAGAGAATGCAAAATTTTTTTCTAGAGAGAGAGAGTTTGTACCTCTGGCTCCTGTGATCATAGAGAAGATTTTCCTAGAGAGAGAATGCAAAAGTTTTTCTAGAGAGAAAGAGAGTTGTACCTTTTTCTCGACCAGGCTGCAGAGGGCACAAAGAGAAAGAGAGGGGGTAGGGCACAAACAAGAGAGAGAGGGCAGGGGGCACAAATTCGAAAGAGAGAGAGAGAGAGAAGCAGGGCGGGCGAAAAGGCACAGGCCTGAACCAGATATGAGAGAGAGGGGGCAGCAGAAGAGCGAGAGATAAGGGGTTTTTGCTTGAGAGAGAGAGAGGCCCCTGTCCCATGACACTAGAGAGATATAGGAATATAGTTCGTCAGGCTATTTCCATTGGTTGAGCTTAAAATCAAGCTAAGAAGAATCACAACCATTCAAACTCCTCAAGTTGATCCCACCCGTTCGGCTCACTCCATTGGCATCGGCGGGCTTTTCATATATATATAGGTACAATAAATGTAAAAATACGGTTTACAAGAGTCTCTAAAAGGAATCTATGAAATTTGGAGGGTTGTTAACGCTAGAAAATCCTATATATATATATATTTATATAGAAGATGCTAGAGTGTGCCCACAAGCTCACAGAATAGTATAAGTCCAATGGTCCAGATTGAATCTAGGCCGATCTGACAGCCACAAGTGTCTGAATTTTTAATTTTTTTTTTTACGAATTCAAATCACTTGAAATTTTAGATAAATATTCTTTTCATCAAGATGCATCTAATAAAAATATAAAAAAAATAATCCGTAAAATTAAAAATAGTCAAAATACCCTCGAAAATTTATGGGGCTATTTTGTTTATTTTTCATGTAAAATATTTTTTTAATATTAACCTATTTTTTATCAACACACATCTAAAATTTCAAGTGATTTTGATTTGTAAAAAAAAAAATTAAAATTCAAACACTATTGGGCATTTGTGATCGTTAGATCGGCCCAGATTCAATCAGGGCCATTGAGTTTATTTTTTCTTGTTAGCCCATTGGCTCACAAAAGCTTTTTCTTTTATATATATATATATATAGGGATAATCTAAACTTCACAACCTTCTAATTACAAAGGTCCAAGATATAGAGAGTTGTGAAGAGTGGATTTATTAATTTTGTAGTCTATTTTTTTAAAAAAAGTTAATTTTGTGGGGCAATTTTGTAAATCTTACTACAAGGCAAAGAGTACTTTTGTCAATTTCATAAAAGGTAAAGTTGAAATTTTAACAAAAAGACAATGGCACTCTATAAATAAAATTCCAGCACACAACTTCTAAAATACCATTGTACTTTTATGAAAATTTTAAATTTGTTTTTGCTTGATGGAAAAATTATCTATTTAAATACTTTTTTAATAAAAAAAATAATGATTATTTTGATAAATACACCAATCACAACATAAACCTTTGTATTTTGAGAGGTTATTAACACTAAACAAACCCATATATATATATATATATATATATTTGTTTTTCATCAAATCCTTGTTCATATGGTAGACTAATGTTATGCTTTTTTCTTTCCCAAAAAGCATTGGGGTGTTCACTGCATATAGAAGTTTCTATATGATGTTGTATTGATTTGATTTTCTGTTGAATTGAAGGAGTATTTATTCGTTCTTCAATAGACTTATATTTAAGTTCTTGTTTTAAGGTGCAAAGAAATCTTTCTTTATTCTGTAACTGACTTTTGACATTATTCAACTCTTTTAATTTTGGTTTATGGATAAAATTAAACCAAAATTTTATATTTTGAATAGTTGAAGATATTCCTGTTTGATCTATGGTTAAAGGATATAACAAAGTAAGAAATGGGACTCCAAGTATAATAAGATAGTATTCATTTGTATTGATCTAGCTTTTGTAGGTATTTGTTTTTCATCAAATCTTTGTTCATATGGTAGACTAATGTTATGCTTTTTTCTTTCCCAAAAAGCATTGGGGTGTTCACTGCATATAGAAGTTTCTATATGATGTTGTATTGATTTGATTTTCTGTTGAATTGAAGGAGTATTTATTTGTTCTTCAATAGACTCATATTTAAGGTGCAAAGAAATCTTTCTTTATTCTGTAACTGACTTTTGAAGGGGAACCTTCGCCTTTGGCAATTCGTTCACCTTCTCATTCTCCTATCCACCAAATCACCTATCCCGAAGCAACTGCTTCAAAACCTATATATTCTCCAGCCCAGACCAAGTCTACTTCACAATCCAATATACCCAGGTCTTCTTATATAGAAAGAGCTTATCTCATGGATATTACTATCGATGAGAAACATGTCAATACATAACCAATAAAACTTGATCCTTTATATTTGCTCAATCATCTCAACCCATCCAATGGTGTAAAAACTAGAGAATACTTTGAAGCCATTCTTATGGAAACGGGATCCATTTTCGTTGTCCACTATTATCAACAGAATACTAGGACCATTGCATATTCCAAGGTCCAAATTAAAAACTTACTTTCCTATGAAGAGTGGGGTTGCAATCCCGCGCAAGGAAATAAACTTCACAACCCAGACTTTTCTTATAAGTATTATAAATATGCCGAATACATTGAAGCTTGGCATAAGTTTTTCTATTACCAAAATCCAAATAACACACACAGCTGGTACGTTCAGTTCCGACTCCCTATTTTCGAAAGATTCCCCACATGATTTAAAAATTGGTTTTTTGTGTGGGGCTCAACATCTCAAATTTTACCTCCTGCTTTCAAAACAGTGCAGGAACAATTCAAAGAATATAATCATGCTGATAATACCATTGATATCCATTTATATTTCATGGCCCTATACCAAATCCCATGGATCATGAAATGGGATTATTCAATCTCAGTTGATACCACTGCTGACTATTCTTATATTCCCAGACTTGGAAAAACTATCTCTGTTAAGTGGTGGGACATATTCAATATGGACCCTACAACACTCACTCCCAAAAGAATACCCAAGCCAACCTCTGAGAAACAACCAAGTCCTCATACTACTAATACCTCCTTTGATTTCCCAACCTATTTACGAAATATGCTCCAGCAAAACCCCAATGCTTCCAAAGAGACCTTAGAATACCAAATGAGAGAAATATTTGCTGAAGCTGGGAAAAAACCAGTTTCTTCTGAAGAGACTGTACAAACATCCCCTTTACACACCAACCAATATCTTAATCTCCCGGAAGAAGATCCAGATGAAGAAACAGAACGGGAGGAAGACAACCCGGATGAATTCAGTCAAAGACCATGACCATGAAGAAATCAATAAGAAAGACTCATCAACCATCATCACCGACAAAGCCATTAATAATTGAAGAAAGACTCATCAACCATCATCCCCGACAAAGTATAAAGAATCACCGACAAAAAGCACCATCAACAGTCATCACCGACATATAATGACAAAAGAAGATGCTGTCACTGTAGCCATTTATATATACGCCAAATATGTCATTGTAGCCATGTGTATATACGCCAAAAATGTCACTGTAGCCATGATAGGAAGCGACAAAGGGAAATACTGTTCCCAGATGCTTCTTTTTCCTTTTTTGTCTTCTTTTGTTTTTGTTTTACTTCTTTACGTCCTCTCATCTTGCTTTATGTCTTCTCCTCCTGCTTTCTGCTTTATTCCTTGCTTCGTAGTGAAGCAACTCCGCCTATATAAGGACCAAGCCTTCTCCATTTGAGGCAGGGTCGAAACTTCTCCGTCTCCCATTTCTTCGTCAGCTCCTCTCTTCTCTCTCCTAGAGCTCCTCTCTCAAAGAGCTCCTCTCTCCCAGAGCTCCTTTCACACAGAGCTTCTCTCTCATAGAGCTCCTCTCTTCTTCTCTCTCTGATCTTTGAAAATACAGCAATACTCGAGCGATCCTGACCTTCATAGCTCCAAACATTTACCAGGTTTTATCCCTCTTCTCTATCTTTTAATATCTGATGTGTAACTGCAATTTAGACTCTCTTCCTTCATACTGCCCGCATCACTGGAAACTCTTTTCCAGTTACTGCATCTGTACTCAGTCTGTACTTCTGTTTTCAGTCTATCTTCTGTTTTTCTGTCTATCTTCTGTTTTTCTGTCTTCTGTTGCTTCTCTACCATCTGAGTAACTGTAAAATATAGTTTATGAGTGACTGTAAGTGTGTTTCTTTCATTGTAATTATGTGCTAGTAGTGGTTTATAAATAAAGTCAAGTTTGTTATGAATTTTCACTATGCAATTTAAAATACTATTTAATATTAAAATAGGAGATTTGAATTATGTTCAGTGGTTAGTAATAGATGTATCTGTTATCCCTCTTATTTGCATAATACTGTTCATTCTTAATTATTATAGAATTCTACAAGAACTAATTAAATACAATAGTCTCATATTTACATATCTACTCTAGATTCAATTATCACCTGCAAAAATACGATAAATAGGATCGGACTGTAGATCCTGGGCAATTGTAATATCAGAGCCATACAGTAAAACTGTGCAAACAGGAAACTGTTTATACAGTACATGAACAGTGACCTGTCCTAATAGTTCACTAGTCCTGTTGAGTAAAAGTTATACTAGTACTAAGGAAACCTACTTAAATTTACCACTAAGAAAGTTGATCCGAGAGTTAAGACAAGAGACGAAAGGACAAGTCTAGGCAAAGTACCCGTCAAGGCCAGGAAGAGCCGCTTAGGGGAACATGCTGGACCCTTGATCGTCCAGATTGTCATTATCCGCAACCTACAGATGGCAAATTTAATTAGGAATCTTAAAAGTAATTGTACAACTTCATCTCAAACACTTAGAGTGAAAAATAAGGAACAAATCATAATAAATGATATTGAAGATCATATACAAAATTGGAATATACCAAAGGTACCAATACATGACATTTATCATAAGGGATCATTTAAATTCAAGATGGGTTATGCCATCAAGACAGTAGAAGAAAGTTTATCTGTAACTCAGAATCAAGAAGACTTTCAACTACTATCAAGAAAAGTTATTGAAAAACATGAAGAAAATAATTACAAATATTTACATATTGGCCTCATTCAAATAGCTGTTAAACCTTTGACCCGACTAGGGTTGAACACCTCAGTGCTTGTATGCCTAAGAGATACAAGACACAATAAATTCACAGACTCACTGCTTGGCAAGGTTGAATCAAGCCTATGTAGTGGTCCAATATATTTTAACTGTTTTCCAAATTTTTCGGTTTTTTTAACAGATCCAAATATTCTAGATATACTAACAATAAATTTAAAAACTCATGGTTTTAACATGACACATGGTTCCCAAAATTTAGCTATAGTCTACAGAATATATTACAAAGTCATGAACACCTTATGTCCAAATATTATGAGAATAAATAAAAAA